TAATAATATAATTACATATACATTAACAATATCGTATTGAATCAATTTCCATTTCCAAACATTGCATTTCTTATAAATTATAACTTACACGAGATTAAATGGATTCGTTATTTAGTTTGTTACTTTATTTAGATTACTAACTCAAACAACTTAATAAGTTAAATGGACGAAATCACGAAATCACTAATTAAAGTGGTGATGAAAGCATTATGCAATACTAATGTACGAATAGTCAAATATACAACGGTTAGATTGAATGCCCATGAAAAACAATGGTTAGATTTTCATTACTTTATTAGTTATTAGTATTATTACTTATTAAGTTATTATTAGTTTTATAGTTTATTATATATACTGATATACAATCACAGACTCACAGATGTCAGATATTGTCATATTGATGAGCATTAAGCCATTAACTCATTAAGTCATTAACTATGTCGTATTGAATCAATTTCAATTTTGAAACATTTGCGTTTCTTACAATTTATAACTTATAAGTAATAAACTAATAATAATAATAATAATAATAATAATAATAATAGTAATAATAATAATAATAATTATAATAATATTATAATAATAGTAGTAGTAAACTAGTAATAATAATAATATTAACAAATAATTATACTAACAATAATAATAATAATAATAATAATAATAATAAATAATTAAAAAAAACGGTCAAAAAGACCTAGAAAAGCACAAAGAAAATCTAGACCGTTAGATCTAGATGAATATTCTAGAATCTACAAAAAAAAAATAATAAAAAAAAATGAACGGTTAGATCTAACTTAGATGTTGAGATTGAATATGGACGGTTAGATCAACTGAAGTAAAACCTAAACCTAGAAAAAAAACCCACTCTCACTCTCTCAGCCATTCTCATTCACTCATTCAGCCGTTTCTCTCTCAATCTCACAATCTGTCATAGTTTCTCTCTCTAACTTCTCAGTTTCTCACTCTTTCGTTCTGAAATTCTCAAGAATCTCAAGCTCAATTTCGTTTCATTTGTGTTTTGGATCTACATTTCTGATTTCTAGCTTTACATTATCGTTTTTTTGTTAATTTTTGTTGTTTTCGTTTTGATTTTTTTCGTTTTTGTTCCGGTTTGTTTATTTAGGGTTTTTGTTTTCGTTTCATTTGTGTTTTGGATCTACATTTCTGATTTCTCGCTTTACATTCTCGTTTTTTTGTTAATTTTTGTTGTTTTCGTTTTGATTTTTTTCGTTTTTGTTTCGGTTTGTTTATTTAGGGTTTTTGTTTTCGTTTCATTTTTGTTTTGGATCTAAGTTCTGATTTCTGATTTCTGATTTCAAATCTTCCTCTCCTTCAAGCCGTCAAACCCTAAGGTAATTTTTTTGTTAATTTATTCGATTTTTTTCGTTTTCGTTTCGGTTTTTTTTTTTATTTCAAGTTCTGATAATCTACATTCTTGATTTTTTCTTTTGATCTCCAGTTCAGGTAGTTCTCCATCTTCAAATCTCCTTCAAGCCGTCAAAGGTAATTACTTTTTCCTTTTTGTTTTTTTTTTTTAATACAGTTTTTCTGTTTTTGTATTTGATTATTGTTGTTGTTCTTGCTTGAATATAGTCGAAATATGCCTAAAATGAGTAAAATCTGTTGTTGATTGTATTTTTGTTTTTTACGGGAAAATGGTAGATTTGTGCTGTTTTGTTGTTTATTATGCTCGATTTAAAAGTAATGATGATGGGTTGTTCAGATTATGTGATTATTATTGTTGGAATACATGCATTGTTTATTTATTGGGATTTTAGCTTTATATTTTTAACCCATATTGTTGGAATACAAGCATTGTATATGATTGGCTTAAAGTTAGTACTTAAAATGTACACATATGTGACTGTATCGTATATAACTTTCTATATTCTGTTAGGATATATGTTGTAATCACGTTTGTTGTATAATTCTGAATTTTGAAACATTGACTAGTGCAAATAAAATTCTGAAATATGAACTATCTATTTAGTTGAATTTTGGTATTGAGTGAATAGGATTCACTGTCGTGACTTCAGTGTCAGTCACATGAGACAATGCATGCTTAATTGCTCACTATTAGTAGAATCTGTCACTTAATTTGGTACTTATAAGTTATAAATGCTGTTTTTTTTTTGTTTCAGTCATGTCTCGCGAGTATGATGAATTTGACTATGAGAGGCAATCAAATTTTGATACTGTTAGCTCTCAAGCTGCCTCTGTCTCGGTTGATGATGCTAGTAATACCGGCACTATAATTTTGAAGTTGCTTGAACTTGTTATGAGCTGCTGCCTGCTGGTAGTGCTTTTGCCTTTTGGTTGTTGTCTCTGCTGAGTTGTTATTGCCTATATTGTTGCCTGCATGAGCTGGTTCCTGCCTCCTGCCAGCTTGAGGTGCTGTGTTGCTGCCTTTTGTGTTATGAATTTATGATAAGTTTTGTTGCTGCTGTTTCTTATGCTTGCTGTTTTAATTTTTCTTGAATCATCGTTGCCCTTGTCATTTATGTTGAGACTTCAATGTATATGTACTTGCTGGCAGCATTTTTCAAGTTTTAAGTTAAAACAGCCATTGCTCAGTGATGATACGATAAACGTAAATCTGAGAGCAATTTTGAAAAACAAAAATAAGTTCCTGCTGAGTCCCTTCTGCTTATATTATTCCTTGCTTCGGATAAGTTGTTGATCTGTTATTGCGTGTGCTGGTTCCTGCTTGTTGCTGCTATTTCCTCTGCTCTTGGGTGCTGGGCTGCTGCTTCAAGATTCTGCTTCAAGATTCTGCTCCCAAATCACTCACATTCTCACTCCTCCCTTCATCTTATCATGTATCATTTTTTGCAACCCTAAACTTGATGATGTTTCAGTTGATAAATCTGAAATCTAATCTGGGTAGTAGTGATAGTAGTTTCATTATGTATTGGTATATGTATTGTGAATTTTAATCAATGAAAATGGTGACTTTTTTTAATTGCTTGTTGATATTACTCTAATTTTAATGTTATTTATCTCCAATCTTATGTTATCTTATTGGATGATCATGAATATCAAGAAACAATGAAGATAATTTGGGTGGACTTTATTACTGGAATGAAAAGATACAAATGATATATCTTGTAATTAAAATAAATAAGTAATCTAAAACGATATTAATAATGTCGTTGGCCTAGATCTAGGTGATATAAACCTTTGTATAAACCTAAGCCGTTTGATTAGATCTACATTTATTAACATTAATTATTTAATTGTATTTACTATTTAGCCATTTAGGTTGTAAATAATTCAATTTGAATTAAGCAGTTTGTAATTGGATAAGTTTAAACAGGTTGTGATTCGAAAACAGTTCGATTTTAACGGTTTAACGGGTTATGGCAGTTCTGTTTAGACGGTTAGCGGATTATAACGGTTCGGTTTATACGTGCGGTTTAAACGGTTTCGGTTCATAAACGGGTCGGTTTAAACGGTTAGCGGGTTACAAATGGTTCGGTTTAAACGGTTTTTTTTTCGGTTTAAACGGTTTCGGTTTATAAACGGTTCGGGTCATTAACGGGTTTATAAACCATTCGGTTCGGTTTTGTTTCGGTTCGGATTTGCGCAGTTTGGTTTGTTATCGGTTTACGGTCCGTAACGGGTTGACATTGAGCGGTTCAATTCGGTTTCGGTTTGATATTGAACGGTTCAGTTCGGTTTTCGGTTTACATTTATCGGTTTATAAACGGATCGGTCCGTGATGGTTCGGTTCGGTAACGGGCGGTTTCACGGTTCGGTTTGAAAAGTCCCACCCCTAATTTTCAATGTTAATTCTAATTGATTTAGGTAGTCACATCCCTAAAAAAAAATGCATCTTGTTTTAACATAATATCATGTGTAAAAGAATAAATTTAAGTTTAAGAGTGTTTTTTTTTTAGGTGGAAAAAATAAGGAAAAAAGGGGATGCGTTTAGCACACTCCAGTTGGCGGAGGGAGGGGGTACAAAGGGGACAGCTGTCCCCCCACTACAATAAAAAAAAAAAGTTAAAAGAAATTATGTGCAGCTTTAAGAATAAGAAAAAGAGTTTGGTTCAATGGTTTTAGGGGTTATTAGTAGTCTCCATGGTCATGGGTTCATCCCTTTAACCAACATTTTTTTTCTTCTTATTTTAATTTTAAAGTTTTCCTCTTATCTTGTGTGTTTCTTTACTTCAAAGATTCAATTAGAAGTAATACATAGTACTACTTAATGACATCATTTTTTAAACTTCTAAATTACCATAGTAATTTACATTTTTTTTTATAATGCATACATTACAACCCCAAATTATTGGTTATAGTAGGGATTTCGGGTAAAGGTGTCATATCTCAATATAAATTAAATTGTCACGAGTTTAAAAACTTTGAACCTATGGATCCGCTATTGACCAAATTTGAATAAGAAATTGTTCATTTGTTAGGATTATCGTGAATTAGAAATCAATTTATGAATTATTTGATAATTTTGATTGTATATCACTTTCAAAAAAAAAAAAAAAAAAAAAAGAAAATTTGAAGGTGAAGTTGTAATTGTAAATATGCTTTTTATTTTTCAATTTTTGGACTGTATAACTAAGAAATTTGGATTTTTGGGTTGCAAAACTTATAAGTATTAAGGATCGTCCGTACAATTTTTGTATGTTTAAAAGGTTTGTCCATTTATAGAATGTACGCCACCTTTAGTCCGTCCCCCTCGGTGGAAAATCCTGGCTCCGCCACTGGCACACTCCATGCGTTTCCATTCATATGGAGACACTCCATCACATGGAGACGGATAAACATCTACGCCACTCATATAGATTTATTTAAACAAGCAAAATTAAGGGAAAATGGCCGGAAACAGTCTAATTTCTTCTTTTAACAACAACCAAAAAATTAGTAAACCATAGAGAGAGGAAGAGAGGATGAGAGAAGAGGAGAGGAGAGTTTCAACAGCTTCGTCATAAGTGGAATAGTGCTCAAATAAAATCCTCCTATAATGTAGAGTAGTGCGTGTCCATTTTGTGTCCGTACCCAATCTTGTGCAAACTAGTCCATCTACCTTCTGTCGCATTAATCTAGTCAGTCAATGAAGTGAACGTACAAGTTACAAGTAAGTCAAGATTTAAATGATGGGTCCTGTTTTAATGAACAAAGGAAAAAAAAAAGACTTGCCAATGTGTTTTGAACTTATGATCAGAATTTCTGGCTTCTTCCAACACTATAAAGTATCAACCAGTATTACTGTATTAGTACAACCAACTTTAAAAATGAATGTAAATAGGTATTTAGAATTAACATGAAAAAGGCCAATTTCACAAGCTAAGGCCCTTTTACTTCCATTATAGTTTCCCAACTGTATTACCCTTGTGCATTTATTGCCAGCAAAAGACATCCACATGCTCTACCTTACTTTAAACATCAGTTTATCTCTCTGAATTTGCTGCACATTTAGCAACTTAGTTTTGGTAATGGAGGAAATAACTCAAAGTATGGACCAAGATGTCCAAGAACCATCCAACAGTTCAACAACTAACTCAGAAAAAGTGTCTTTTTTTGGGTTATTTGCTGCAGCTGATACATTGGACTACTTCTTGATGTTTTTTGGTGGCGTTGCAGCTTGTGTTCATGGTGCTGTGCTACCTGTTTTCTTTGTGCTGTTCGGCCGTATGATTGATTCTCTTGGAAAATTAGGAGCAGATCCTAATGCAATGTCTGACCGTGTTTCGCAGGTACGTGATGACTCTTTATTATATCTAAGATGTCCCTCCATTTTTAGCAAAACTGTTATCTGCTTTTTGTGTTTGTCTTTGGCTTGGTAATAATGTACATGAAACCTTATTATATTTCGTCTGCCACAAAACCACGAGGACATGTACAAAATTTTTAGGCTCTGTTCGCTTCATCTTATTTTGAACTATGCTGTACTTAAATGATTACTTGATTTTTTATGAAGTTGAAACATTATATCTTTAAGTTGAAGAAAATGAATCTTATACATGATAAATAAATGTGGATGTATGCGAATTGCCTAGCCTTGTTCGTATGCAATCATTTGTTCCTTCGGATTCTTATGCTACTAAAATGATGCTGTCATTTTCATAAAGGTCAAGAGCATTTAGAATTGTATTGGGAGTAATAGAAGTTTCACTAAGATAAGAAAGATTTGTTACTCGTATTTGTTACAGCAAGACTTATTTGAGTAAAAATGTCCTGTTTACTTTGCAGTTATTTTCATGTTGCCATGCTAAGAGAATATATACACATTAGTTTAAGTTATAGCGTTTGTTTGGCGACATCCATTTTGTGCTAAGTGTTGTCCTTATATATGTGCACAATATTTGGGTCTTTCGGAATCTTGAAGAACTGATATATGACTCTAATGATTTATACCTTGCTTACAATCTTTGTTTTTTATTCTTATCTGCAGCTTTCTTTGTACATGATTTATCTCGGATTGATAACGTTTTTGAGTTCGTGGCTAGGTAAATTTCTTCTGGTTATTTTAGCTTTATATGATGTAGTTAAATATATATTTCTAGACATTTCTCTCATTTCCTCGACAATTTCCTGGTGTAATCCTGTGCAGGAGTGGCATTTTGGATGCAAACAGGAGAAAGACAAACAGCGCGCTTGCGTTTGAAATATCTTGAGGCTGTTCTAAAACAGGATATAAATTTTTTTGACACTGAAGCCCAGAACAAAAACTTAGTCTTCCACATTACTAGTGATGCAATACTAGTACAGGATGCCATAGGTGAAAAGGTAAGTCTTTTTCTGATTCCTCTACTGCTTTTCGAGTTTTTCCCCTACTTTTTACACTCTTTCATCTTGCAGATAGGACATAGCTTGCGCTACCTTTCTCAATTTGTTGTGGGTTTCATAGTAGGCTCCTTGTCAGTATGGAAGCTTGCACTTCTCACCTTGGCTGCTGTTCCTTTACTTGCTATTGCTGGAGGAGTTTACACTGTCATTATGTCTACTTTATCACAAAAGGCAGAAGCAGCTTATGCTGAATCTGGCAAGGTTGCTGAAGAGGCAAGTTTCCTGCAACTTCTCAAACTGCTGCATTTACGTTAGATTTATTTTATTATTTTTTTTTTAAAAAAAAGCTCCTGTTCTTTTTTGTCTATAATGGATCAGGTGTTTTCACAAGTTCGTACAGTTCATTCATTTGTGGGAGAAACAAGAGCAGTGGAACAATACGCTAGATCACTTCAGAAAGCACTTGATTTCGGGAAGAAGAGTGGGCTTGCAAAAGGTCTTGGTATTGGATTCACTTATGGACTTCTGTTATGTACATGGTCTTTACTTCTATGGTATGCCAGCATACTTATCAGACATCGTCAAACTAATGGAGGCAAAGCCTTTACAACAATTCTGAACATCATCTTCAGTGGATTGTAAGTCTTTGTTGACAGGCAAAAATGTAGTATATACTTGTTAACCATGCCTCTTCTGAACAGAATTAATTGTTGGCTTTTGCAGTGCACTTGGTCAAGCTGCTCCAAGTATCGCTGCTGTAGCTAAAGCTCAGGCTGCTGCTGCAAATATAATTAACATGATTAAAACTGATAGTAGCTCCTCTAAAAGATTTGCTTCTGGAATTACATTACCGAAGATTGTTGGGGAAATTGAGTTCCGTGAGGTCTGCTTTTCTTACCCTTCACGGTCTAAAATGATCTTTGAAGGTCTGAGTTTCTCAGTTTCAGCTGGAAAGAGTTTTGCTGTCGTAGGTCCTAGTGGCTCAGGAAAAAGCACAATTATTTCCTTGGTTCAACGCTTCTATGACCCTTCCTCAGGTATTAAATTGAAGTTACTATATTACTTGATTAAACTGTGAACATCAAGCTAGGCCTTTTTATGTTTAATATGACAATTAATACCAGGACATATACTGTTGGATGGGCATGATGTACAAAGTCTGCAGCTAAAATGGTTGAGAGAACAGATGGGATTGGTTAATCAAGAACCAGTATTGTTCGCTGCAACCATAGCAGAGAACATATTATATGGTAAAGAAGAAGCCGGTATCCAGCAAGTTGTGGAAGCTGCCAAAGCTGCAAATGCACATTCTTTTATCCAGTCTTTACCTGATGGTTATCATACTCAGGTAGGAATCACTCAGATCTGATTACTTTGTTTTTGCTATACATACTTCAGTATTTGGGACTTGAAAGCATATCAGTCTATCAGACACCATGAATATGAGTTCGGGCTTCATAGTTCATGCCATAGGATGCATATGTATTTAAGCTATAATGCTTATCGCTTTCAGGTGGGACAAGGAGGAACTCAACTTTCTGGTGGACAAAAACAACGAATCGCTATAGCAAGAGCTGTGATACGAAATCCAAAGATATTACTCCTGGATGAAGCCACAAGTGCTCTTGATTCTGAGTCAGAGCATGTTGTTCAGAAAGCACTAGAGGAGATCATGTCAGAACGAACAACAATTGTAGTTGCTCATAGATTATCCACTATTCGAGATGTTGATCAAATTATTGTTCTCAAGAATGGAAGTGTAGTCGAATTAGGAACTCACGAAAAATTAATCTCAAAAGGGGGAGAGTATGCAGCATTAGCCAGACTACAAGTTTCAGAAAACAACTTGGATAAAACCGAAAAAATCAATGAGCAAAGTTCACAAACCTTGAGCTATTCTGAGTACAACAAGAACGTTCATCCCTTGGAAGACCCAAAATCAATGGAAGACCCAAAATCAACTTCTGCTAGAGAGCAGGAACTAAGTAATTACAATGAAGATCCAATCATTACATATCCTAAGCCATCCATTAAGGAGCTTATTAAGTTAAATGCTTCAGAGTTTCCCAATGCAGTTCTAGGGTCTGTTGGGGCCGCTTTGGTCGGAATTCAAGCTCCTTTATTTGCCTTTGGTATCTCATATATGTTAACGGCCTTCTATTCTAATGATGACTCCAAGATCAAGCATGAAGTTCGAATAACTTCATTTGCTTTCCTTGGGGTTGCACTCATTACTATTCCGATATATCTAATGCAGCACTACTTCTATACTTTAATGGGAGAACGAGTCACCACTCGTATTCGCAAGCTGATGTTTTCAGGTTCAGTTTTACAACTAGGAGTCTAGAACTCATACTACTCCCTCTCGCTCAGGCTAAGTTAACATTGCATAGGCATGAAGAATAGAGTTTTGGGGGAGGGGAAGGGGAGGGGGGGTTGAAAGGGGAAAAAAATTAGGGTGGGTGTGGGTCCCAAATAAGAGGAAAAGTAAGGTAATAATTCTAATAAAAAATAATATGTCTAATAAATTTTGAGACATTCCGATACAATAAAGTATATGTTAACTTAGGTATGAGACAAAGGGAGTATTATAATTATGTCATGATTCATTTATGTTATTGATTATGTTTCTTCCTTTTTCTCTTCATGGCAGCTATGTTGTCAAATGAAATTGGGTGGTTTGACATAGAAGAAAATAGTGTTGGTTCATTGACATCAAAGCTAGCAGCCGATGCAACACTTGTTAGGACAACTCTTGTTGATCGACTATCAACAATTGTGCAGAATATGTCACTCATTGCAGCATCATTTCTCATTGCATTCAAGTTAAGCTGGCGCCTTGCAGCTGTCACTGTTGCCATGTTTCCCCTGATGATTGCCTCCTCCATAGCCGAGGTTAGAGATGTTTTGATGAACTCGTCAAAACAAGAGTTACAATTTATGTGTTTAAGTCATATGCATTTGAGCACCAGGTAGAATTGAGGAACCTAATGTGGGTTTTCAGAGCTGCTAGAAATGTGATGTTTTAGGTACAACCAAGATGGAATTGAGCCATCTGTTTCACCTCTAAGTTTATATAGTCCATTCGTCCCTGTCTGTCCCAACTGAGTTTATTAGTATGGGGTACGTATATTAAGGCTGGGAAATGTAGAGAGAAAAAGAAAAGTACTGTAAATGAGTTTGAAACTAACTTTAGAGAAGAAGTACAGAGACAAATCTAGCAAAGTACGCGCTTTAAACATTTCTAAAAATAAGCATAAAATCACCATATTTGAATGTTAACTTCGAGATGGAACAGCATATTTTGGTTGAAGTTAACTTGGATGGCACTCAGACACATGGATTATTACATAGCATTGCCCAAGTTTTCATTCTGTCAACTTCCTTTCTCTCTGACATTCAGTTTTTTGTTTTACATTTGTGCAGCAATATTTCCTGAAAGGCTTTGGTGGGGATTACTCTAAAGAGTACTATCGCGCTAATGCTTTGGCTGGAGAAGCGATCTCAAACATCAGAACAGTTGCTGCATTTGGAGTTGAAGAGCAAATCTCAAAGCAATTTTCTATGCACTTGAACAAGCCAAATAAACAAGCTGTTCTACGAGGCCACATATCAGGTTTAGGGTACGGCACATCATTACTCCTTGCATTCAGTTCATATGGGTTAACCCTTTGGTATGCTTCTGTTCTGCTAAAACATGGAGAAAGCAACTTTGGTGAAATTATAAAGTCCTTCATGGTCTTAATTACTGCGGCCTTTTCAATAGCTGAAGCACTTGCTCTTACACCCGTAATAATGAAGGGATCGGATGTACTAGGATCAATATTTCTCATCCTCAAAAGGAAAATAGCTATCGACTCTGATGATCCCAAATCAACTAAGGTAACAGAGATTAGAGGAGATATAGAATTCAGAAATGTCAGTTTTAAGTACCCAACAAGACCTGAAATACTTGTTCTCAACGACTTCAGCCTGAAGGTTCCTGCAGGAAAGAGTATAGCAGTTGTGGGTCAGAGTGGATCAGGAAAGAGCACCTTGGTATCCCTTGTGATGAGATTCTATGATCCATCTTCTGGCTCAATTTTGATAGACGGGATTGACATCAGAAACTTGAATCTGAAGTCTCTCCGGCGTATGATAGGATTAGTACAGCAAGAGCCAGCATTGTTCTCCACCACAATATATGAGAATATACGCTATGGTAACGAGGAGGCAACAGAAATCGAAATAATGAAGGCTGCCAAAGCAGCAAACGCTCATGGGTTTATAAGCAGAATGCCAGATGGATATGATACTCGAGTGGGAGAAAAAGGGTCCCAGTTATCAGGGGGTCAGAAACAAAGGGTGGCAATTGCTCGGGCAATACTAAAAGATCCATCCATCCTGCTTTTAGATGAAGCAACAAGCGCGCTTGACACTTCATCAGAAAAGCTCGTCCAGGATGCCCTTGAAAAACTCATGCAAGGTCGAACTACAATTATAGTGGCTCACAGACTCTCAACTATACGTGATGCAGATAATATCGCAGTCATGAGCCAAGGAAAAGTATGTGAACTTGGAAGCCATGAAGAGCTTGTTAGCATTCATGGAGGTATCTATGCTCAATTGGTTGATTTACAACAGAGAAAATCCAATCCTTCTGTAGATTAAGAATTTAGTCAATGTTACCTTTTGAATCGAGTATCCCTCAACTGTGACCGAAAGTTTTCCACATTCTTGGGCACTAAAAGTCATCCCACCAGATGGACCTCATACTGAAATGAGAATAAAAAGTAAGTCAAATAAAAGGAAGAAAGTCAGTTCTATTCAACCATGAAATGTTCAAGGACTATCAAAACAAACTAAAAAAAATCTGTTAAGAGTTCCTTATTTTGTCAGAAATTCCTTATTATAAATTTGTTTTGTACAAAAACAGGTGAGCTACAGAATAATGTTGAACTTAAATGTATATGTTGTCATGTTGTGCAATGATAATTACCTATAAAAAAAACATACTGTACATTTCGTATTGTCATGTTCTAAGCTCATGCTATGTTGCCTTAGTAATTGTGCTGATTAATGCACTACTGTGGCATATCTGCACAAGAAAGAAAAATGTTGGATGAATAAAATTACAGAGCTTTTTATTTACCAAGAAAAATCAACTTAGACATTTTTTGTTTTAGGGGGAAGAGTGTTTACAGACATACATCTTGGCAGTAGACACTGGCCCGGCAACATCACCAACTACACTTCATCGCTTCCAAAGCTCGTCTATGGAAAGGGGTCTAGTACGTTCATAAGTTCATATATAATCTGAATACGTCGGTGCAGCCAAGTCTTGGTCAGTATATGGTCACCACTAAGTAGTTCTAGATCGATTATCATCTGAGCGTGCGTGTCTACGTGTAGAACAGGCATAATCAAAGTCTTAGTCATTATTACAGTATATAGGATCAACTGTCTAAAGTACAACCATGTATTGATCACGACTTCATTTTGTAGGAAATTAGCTACTCGTAGTAAATACAATCAAATGGACTAATAGATGAAAATCAAAAGTCAGGAAAAAAACATTTATCTTCAGCTCAGCTGCTCATGTTTTGCTGATATTCTGAATGTTTGATCAATATTTTGCAACACCAAACAAGCATTTTAGCGAACACCTTATATGCATACGTAAAAATGTAATGTGTCAACAACTCAACATTCAACAATGCATGATGTTCAAATATGTACCTTGCTCCAAACTGATAGCAGCCCAGAAATCCAAAATGTGGCCTTTTTTTTTTTTTTTTTTTTTCGAGAAAAAAATGTAGCCATTATTTATATTAATTATATACAAGTAGAAATTAGGGTTAGGGATCTCAGAACTAGCTCGTTTATTGGTTGTGTTTGTGTTAACTTCTCTATAAGAGATTAGGAGTACAAAAAATTATAATTCTATACATGTCACTTGTCTCTTTATCTCTCTTAAGCAAAAAAAATTGAAAAATAGAATGAAGTGTCATCCCATGTCAATTTACCAACGTCCAACGCAAGGAGTCAAGGACTTTCAATTTCTCTATTGATATTTATCTTACTTTTTTTTTTTTTTTTTTTTTGGGGGGGGGGGGGATGATGTGAGTCAACATGAGGTCAATTGTCCAACTCAGCAAAAGTCCATCACAATTTCACAAGTTTGGCAAAGATACACGCCAGTGAATCATGGGTTGTACATGGACATTATTTTCAAAAGTTAACATAACCCCTTTTAAAACTAGCATACCAAATAAAGGAACTAACTAGCACATCACGTGGGTCAGGCCGTGGTCTCCATTTTTGAATGATTGACACATGTTCGACACGACTTGACTTTTGCTTCCAAATTTTACCTAGACTCTAGGGTAGATAGAAGTCCCTACACCCCCTCCCCACTGTATAACCCTATAATCTTCCCCACTACATCTCTCCCATCCTTTATCCCCCTCTTACAAATTATTGCAACTATCACCGCATCTTATCCCCAAATTATATATCTATCTATCTTTATCAACTCTAACTATAGCATAGTCCGTCCATTTCGGGCGATTTCACCGCCATTCTCTTCTTCTCCAGCGACATTCTATGACTCGTCCCGTCAGCACTATGATCTCCGGTAAAAATCTCAAGATTGAATTTAGAATCTCGGACCTTCGAAATTGAATTTAGCGGCAGTTTCAGCCGTGCTTCTAGTGGCAACAGTTGTGGTTATGGTGGTAGTCGTGGTTATGCGGCGGTAAGTAAACATGGGCACGGGCCGTGCCGGCACGCGGGCGGCACGGGCCCGGCACGACTCCGGCACGGCCCAGCACGTGGGCCGTGGGCCGTGCCGTGAACAAAATTGTGGGATTTGGCACGGGCACGGCACGTGGCACGCCGGGCGGCACGGTGGCCGGCACGTGGGCCGGCACGCTGGCACGACCCGGCGGCACGGCACGTGGCACGGCCGGGCACGGCACGGCACGAGCCCGCAAGGCACGGCCCGGCACGGCACGGCCCGTGCCATACCGTTGGAAAACTAGCCGTTTATGGCCGTTTTCCAACAGCTATAAACGGCTAGTTTTCCACCGCTTTTCCCACCCAAATTCCCTATAAATACCTCATATTTTCCTCCAAAATTTTCACAATTCATCAACTCATCTCTTCTCTCTTATTCTCTAATTTTCTTACTCCCAAATTCTCAATTCTCAAATTCCTACAAATCCTACAATCTTGCTCTCTTTTGTGAAAAAAAAAAAAAATTCCTACTCTCTTATAAATTTTACATTTTTACTATTATTACCTTTATTAGTCTACTACCAAAAAAAAAAATTTTGTTATATTTACATTCGGGAAATTATAAATTCGGGAAATTAAAGTTCGGGAAATTATAAATTTGGGAAAGCATTGAAGCGTCATTGTAAGATCTAACTCAACTTTATTTTAATTTGTTATTGTTAGTTGTTAATCTTGTTATTATTATTATTATTATTATTATTATTATTATTATTATTATTATTATTATTATTATTGTTATTGTTATTGTTATTATTATTATTATTATTATTATTATTATTATTATATTCTTGGAAGTTGGAACTACTTAATTATATAAAAACTACTTTCTATTTTAATTGTGGGTTATTTGGATTGTTGAAATCTTCTAAGGCGGGACTTGGGCTCTGGACAACGTCGCTCCTAACCTCTCCTACCTGCGATCTCATTGATCCAAGTAATCTACTATTATTATAATTATTTTTAAAAATTTAATTTATATAAAAACTACTTACTAATTCTTATTGTTATTGTTATTATTATTGTTGTGAATTGTTATTATTATTGTTGTGAATTGTTATTATTATTGTTATTGTTACTTTGTTATTGTTATTGTTATTTGTATTATTATTATTATTGTTATTGTTACTTTTATTGTTATTATTATTGTTATTGTTATTTGTATTATTATTATTATTATTGTTATTGTTACTTTTATTGTTATTATTATTAATTAATCATGGCATCAAACCCGAACGCTTCCTCCTCCTCTAGAAAAGCCAAGTCAAAACGTAGGGAATCACCAAATCCAAACACTTCAATGCCAATTCCCCCCCCCCCTAACATGCCCTTTCCCTCCCCTAACATGCCCTTTCCAAACACTTCCACCCCTTTCTTTCATCCCCAAAACACGGGAGGGCAAGAACAAATGGATGATATGGCTCCTTGGACCCAATTTCAACAAAGCCAATTTCAACAACATGAATTTCCTTTTCCTCTTCCTTCCCAAGGTAGCCAAACACAAGCCTGCGGGTCGAGTGAACCATCCACCCAAATGCCCAACACCCAAAATCCTAACATATTAGAGTGGTGTACCGAAGAGGATTTTGCTCAAACCAAAAGAAAGAGTGAAGTTTGGTCACATTATCAATTAAGTAAAAATGGACAAAAGGCCAAGTGTCGGACTTGTGGTAAAATTTCTCGGCCGATACCAAGGGAGGGACGGGACACCTTAATAGACATACAAAAAAATGTGGTGGACCATCTAGTGATCCAACCCAACCCAAAATTTCTCAATTCCATCCACAAGGCTTTATTTACAATTACAAGAGAGATAGGGATGAACTTGGGAGAATGATTGTACATGCGGAACAACCTTTTCTTTTCGTCGAAAATGATGCCTTCAACAACTATGTTAACCGAGCACTACAACCAAAACACAAAAAAATCTCCCGAAAAACCGTTCGATCTGCTGCCATGAAGAGTTATCTAGAGTACAAATTGAAATTAGTAAATGAATTAGCTAATCTTCCTAGTAGAGTTTCTTTAACCGCCGATGCATGGGATGGTGGTTACGGACTCCACTATTTATGTGTTACTTGTCATTGGTTAGATAATGAGTGGATGTTACAAAAACGCATCATTCATTTCAAAATGCTTGAATACCCTCATACCGGTCTTAACATTTCACATCATTTAATGGAAGCCATTGATGCATATAGTCTTAGGGATAAAATCATGTCAATGACTTTCGATAATGCAACTTCTATGACATATAGTGCGAATTTGGTCAAAAACCAATTGACCGATGTTATATTAGATGGAAATGCACTTCATGTTAGATGCATTTGTCATGTTCTTAACTTGTGTGTGAAGGATGGAACACAAGCAATTGGTCCATTTTATCACAAAATAAGGAATGCTATTATGTCTATTAATAGCTCTAACATGAGATATCAAGAATGGAAAGGTTTTTGCAGGCAACAACGGATAAAAACCATAAAAATAGCACCGGATTGTCCAACTAGGTGGAACTCCACCTATGAAATGTTGAGTCGAGCAATCGAGTACAAGGTTCATTTAACACTTTTTTATAATATGAAATTTCCACAAAATGCTTTACTAGAAGATGATTGGGTTAATTGTGAAAAATATATGCAGTTTTTACAATTACTATATGGTATGACACATTGTTTTTCTTCTGTATATAATCCTTGTTCTCATTCTTTTCTTAGTAATGCATGTTTACTTGCACAACTTTTTGCGGAACACCGATCTCAACATGTTTATCGTGGATATCTTCCATCCATGGAGGAAAAATGGCGTAAATATTATACCGATATTCCTATGATTTATATTTTTGCTTCTATTTTAGATCCTAGGCAAAAATATGATGGCACCTTTTTATTAATTGATATTTATTATAGTAACATGAATTTTGAAGATGATGTTGAAGCTTTTAAAACTAAGGTGACAAATGATTTTTTTTCTTTATACTCCACCTATGAAAGTAAATATGGAACCGTGTCTCGATTTGCCCCTTCTCAAACATCCAAAAATGTAAGTAAATGGGCCAAAGGTTTATTTGCACAAGCTGCTAACATGATGTCCAAGTTTTCAGGTACGGAATCATCATCAAGTAAGAGAACACAAAGCGATGTTTCGGAGTTGCAAATGTACTTAAGTTACGACTTCATGAAAGGCATGGACGATGATGAGAAGTTTGGCCTCGACATCCTCGATTGGTG